ATAATTCCAAGATTATGATATTCCTTTCCTCCCTCCCTGCCTCTCTCACTTCCCCTTTTTCTTACATTACATTTTTTTTTTTTTGAGTTTTCAGGTGAGATTGCTTCTTAGGTTGCCCTTATGTCTCCTATATTTTCAAGAAATAGGAATCAGAGTGAAGAAAGAGAATCTTGGGGGTAAGGATCAAAAACTGAAAGAATTTTATTCTTACCATATTCTTTTTTTTTTTTTTTTAGGAAAGTGGAAGCATGTTGATTTTCTAAGTGAGAAAAGCTGAAGAATATTGATGACTTAGAATGGCTTTTTCTGTGGATACACAAAGGAAACTCATCAGGGTAACCAATATTGTAACAGCAGAGTTTATAGGACCAGGCAAAGTCAAGAGGCCGTGATATAGAAATACTCCATTGAAGCCTCAGTCTATCAATTTCAGTAGCAAACTCTCGGCGACCCACACCTCACAGTGGGCACAGCAGTCTGATCTGATATTTTAAGGCATTTGAAGTGATGTGAAGGTGCTGATCGGAGAGCGGTTGAAGTGGTATACAGTGGAGGCCAAGAAAGTGGTGTGAATCCATCTGGCAGCTGGACATACATAGTCCCCAATAATTCTGCAGCCACCTGAGAGATAGCAAAAATAACTCATGAGCTTGTGAAACTGGCTAAGGAAATTTTTGGCTGAATTTTCTAAGTACTAATAGGGTTTCTTAGACATAGAACTTTGGGTTTAATAAGAAAAGTTGTGAGTAAGCATAATCTAGAGAAGCTGTAGTGAGCCTTGCATAGCCTCCCTTCCTGGAAAAAGTGTTGTGGAAGCAAGCAATGGGCTTAAAGCACAGGAGAATGCACTGTTTGCCTTTCAATATGCCTTGATGTCAAGCCCCATCAAAGAGCACAGCTAAAATCAAAGATTACCTGGACAAAAATGCTTCCAAAACACTATCAGCATACACTACTATAAGCTGACTTGGTCTCAGTTAAAAGAGGCTGGTCTTAAACAGATTTGTGGAAATGGCTATTGGAAGATACACTAGTTTATAGGCATTTGCGTATTTATATTACACATACACTATGTTTTAAAAATTCTGTTACTCCTCTATTCTCTGATACAGTACTTCTAACACTGCTAGGGAGCATGCAACTAGCGGAAAGTTGCAAAGTCCTTGATTTCTTATTGACCTCAAGTGAGATGAGCCAAGCAAGGAACATCCTGACTCAACCTGTATTTTAAAAAGAATAACAATTTTGTTTGGTGGAGACACAGATGAGATAAAAAGAAGTTCTTTCATTTGTAGCTTCATTGCCCAAATGTCTTTAATGGCCAGCACTGGCCAGGCTGAAGGCAGAAAATCCAACAGTCAAGAACTCAACTTGGGTCTCCCATGTGCTGGGCAGGTGCTCAAGTAGGTAAGCCATCACTTGTTGCTGCCAAACGTGAGCATTAGCTGAAGCTGGATCAAAAAGAAGGAGCTAGGACTTGAACGGGACATCTTGACAGGGATGCAGGTGCCTAAGGAACTTCTTCAATGCTATGCTAAATGTTGGTCCCTTGGAACTCTTTTGTGTAATTAAATCTTGTTTTATGACAACTGATAGTTATACAGGGTGTGGAATATAGACTCTGAAGTGGCCCCAAGTGGCATTAGACAATCAAGTGGAAGTCAGAGACTGCAAGTGTTGTGTTGGGCACTCTGATGTCTTTGAGAAAGAAGCCTGAGCAAGTGAGCTGTTTTCAGCAGTGAGAAGGGTCATTGCCTCCTTTGCATAATACTTTCCTCCCATAGCTTTAATAGAGATGACATATGCATATAATGTACTAAATGAGGACATATTTCTTACTCAAATTGTATCATTTGTGTGGCCACACTGCGATTCTACAATACAGCATTGCTAGCAGTTACCCTGAAAATCTCTTTGGTGTCTCAGCGATTTGCCTTTCAGTTTACGATGCTCAGAACCTAGCTAAAGAGGCACTTTAAAAACTGGAGGGAAGGTAAAGAGGGTGGGCTCTCCTTTTTTCCATGGGTCAGTTCTCATCCCTTCTAGCAGAAATAAGAGAGATCATGCCTGGTTAGATTGTCCTAGAACATAGCGGAGCCATGCATCTTAAACAGAGCTTCAATTGGAGTATGAAAAACTGGTATGTGAGGAAATTTGATATTCTGGCTTGGTGGGATTCTAGGATTTGTACTATTTTTTTCTGTCATTATTGTAGGGACATATGGCCTTCTACCTTTCTAAGCAGCAGAAGCCAGAGTGGCAGGAACATTTTGACCAAATATCCGCTCAGCATGCAAGCAAAACAGTCAGCCCTCTCCCATGTTGTCAATGTGCCCATTTAGCATCAGACAAAACTGAGAGGTGGACAAGACTAAAACCCACTTAAATTCAGAATATATCTTGACCTGAAGAAAAAGGATATGGCCTGTTGTCATAAATTTTTCTTTTATTGTTACTCATGACACATAATAAAATTTAATTTGATTTTGCATTTAACATATGTGTTGACATCTATCATATTAAAAGTTCTGCTTTAAGCATTAGACATAAAGCCATAAAGAAACCAAAACAAAAAGCCAGAAATAAACCAATAAATCAGCCAAATACTTTTACATAGTGGAAAGAGCAATGAAAAACAACAAATGAGTATGTATCAACTTTCGGTTGGTTAGACATAGAAGACCTTCTGAGAAGCTGATATGGGTGTTGCCAGGAATGGAAAGGGTCCAGCGGAGCCTGCCACAATAGCAGAGGCCCGGAAGGAAGGTAAACTTGGTTTAACTAAGGAAAAGAGAAGGCCAGTGTGGTAGAAAAAAAAATAGCGTAAGTGGGGAGAAGAAAAAAAAAGATAAATGATGGAGGTTGAGCAGCTGAGTGGGAATGAGGTCACACAGAATCTCACAGGGGTGGTGAGAATTGGATTTTAATCCACTTGTGGTGATTCTTAATACAAACTGTTTTTGCTGAAGCTTGAGAAACAGCCTGACTGAGGATAACTTGTACCGCATAACCACTCAACTGTTGTCACACAAACTTCACCCTTCAGAGCTGGAGAGACTTTGGGAGAGGCTTGAGGCACCAGTGAAGAAGCAAGGGAAAGCAGAGATCTCTGTTTTCCAGCTGCACAGGCACAGCCTAGGATGAGGGTAGCTCTAAGAACAGGCCTTGCAGAACCAATGGGCAGGATTTGCCAGGAAATTGCCTGGGAGGTGGGAGACAAAGTAGATAAGCATGGCAGGAAGAGTCAAGATGGCACATTTGTTCCATTGGTAACATTGTGGAATAAGTTTCTGACTTTAAAATCACAAATTTGGTTTTAGGCTTGTAACTAGACAGTCAAGTAACAATGTTGATCAGGCAGTTGTGTGAGGACAACTGGTAAAAGTTGAAGAGGGGGAACGCGACTCTCATTGTCTCCATCTTCAAGACATCTCAAGGCCAAGGTTGTGACAGCTTGACCTGTCTGAAGCTTGAGAAATGGCAAATTGACCTTGAGCATGAGTGTCAAGCAGTAACCATTGCCTTAGCCTGTCTGCCCTGGCGTATCAGCTGGCCCTTAACACGCCAGTGAGCGCTGATGGCACTGAATGCCTGACAGCTGTGGATGCAGGCTGCAAGCTGCAGCCAGCGGCAGGACGGCCGCTCCTTCCTTCCCACCAGGGGACACATTTACCACTGACGAGTGCTGAGCACAGCCACCCGGAAGCCGGAAGCCGGCATGGAGTTCAGCAGCAGCTGGGCTTCTGCTCCCGCAAACGGCTACCTGGGACCACAACACACCTTCTTCCACTGTGGAAATGTATCTGTTTTCAGAGCACTGAGGGTGCAGAGTTCCAGGTGAGCCGGCAGCCTGGGGCTTTGGGTCTGGCAGGGAGGCCTGCAAACCGGCTGAGTGCGTGGAGAAGCTGCCGTTGCAGTTAGCCCACCTCACCTGCGCTGTGGCCAGGGACGAGAACGGAGGCAGTGGCTGCCTGTCTGACAGAACTGTGTGGCAAACGGGACACTGCAACTAGGACGGAAACGCCAGGCGTTTATTTCCTGCTTCAACTCAGTTTTCTCCTTATAATTATCATGACCTGATACAAAACCTTCTCACTTCTTTCTTTACTCCTATTTCTACATTTGCCCAGCTCCTCCATCGCAAAGTGGCAGCTCCCTGCTCGGAACAGGAATCCTCAGTATTGGCTAAACACAGAGATTACTTGTGAAACTTGTAGTCTGGACTTCTGGGTTTAACCCCAGGGGTTCAACTTAATTGCCTGCAGGTGTGGCCCAGCGGGTGCCTTTTGAAAGATTCCCAGGTGACTCTAATGAGACCTCTGGTCTCCAGGTGTTGCCAGCTTTCCAAATTAGCCAACAGTTAAATTCAGGAAGCCCAGCTGTCGAGAGACAAGCAGCCTGGAACACGGAACGCGCCCCGGCGCTCTCCTTGCAGCAAACTCTGTTGGAGAACAAGCCTTCTGGGGAGCCACCTCTGGAAAGGTAGGGCCCTCCGTCAGGCCTGGCGGGGCACTGGGCTTTAGTACCGGACGTCTCAGGTCTAAACGTGTACAAACAGAGGCTTCTGTCGGGCGGTTTGGGGAGCCCAGGGCCCACTCCCCAGGGCCCGCAAACCAGCCTGACTGCGTTCCTTTCCTTGGGAGGCCCCGGTAAGGAAGCAGGACCACGCAGGCTTCAGCAACACACAGTGCGTTCAGCGCCCGGGCTAGCTCCCTGAAATGAAGCTTCCATGGGTCTTCCTGGACGGACCTGCCACCCCCCACCTCCCTCCCGTCAGTAAGCGGCTGAGGCGCGAGGCTGCAGGCCCCGAGTGTGGGTCTAGGTCAGGACGAGGTCAGGACACTCCGGCCTGCCCGCCCCGCCTCCCTCCTGGGCCTCTGCCCGGCCGTCGTTGCTGTGGCAACGCTGGACGCAGCCCGGGCCCTGGCCGCCGCCGTCGCCTCCCCTCGCTCTTTCCAAGCTCTCTCCCTAGTTCCAGCTCTCCAGCTTGAGGCTTCGCTATGCTGCGGAGGCCGCGCAGGAGCCGGGTGAACGCCTGGGAGGGCGGCCGGGAGGAAGAGGCGCGTCCGCGGCAGAGGGAGGAGCGGGTTCTGCTGCGAGGCATCTTCGAGATCCACAGGGGCAGCTGCGACGTGGTGCTGAGCGAGAGGGCCCTGAGGTGGCGGCCCATTCAGCCCGAGCGCCCGGCGGGTGAGTGCAGGGCTCCGGCGCTTTGGCCTTCCGGCCCCGGGGTGCCTTTCTCTCTGCACCCAGCACCCGCTCCCCCGGCTCCTGCCCAACTAAGTCGCCGTGCTCCTCCTGGGCTTCGCTGCCCGGGCCCCTCTGACTCTCCAGGCAAAGGTCTCTCCCTCAGTGTCCTGAAAGAAAAACTTGACACCAAAGGTAGCTTTAAAAAGCAGGGAGGTCTCCTGTGCCTCAGTTCAAGGTTTTTTTTGTTTGTTTTGCCATCAGCTTTGTTGGTCTGCTCACTGTAGTTGCAGGACAGAGTATGCCTACGCTTGGGTTCTGAACCCAACCCTTTCTTGCTGGCTTCTGAAAATCTAGCCCAGTGCTCTGGCATCTCTGCCAACTCAAATTTTTTGCTGTTGTCTGGAATGAAGGCTGCTTCCGGCTAAAAACTCCTGACTTTTGCTGGTAATTCCAGAATATTGGATCGCAAGTTTCTAATAGATCATGCTGCTCCTTACCTTGTCGTTTGATTAGCTTGCACTTTTAATTACCGTTATAAGTTACAAGAGCCGTGTGAATTTCAGGTCCTTTAGTCTGGAACACAGCCTCCTTTAAACACTAACTTATGAAACTGAAAACTTTCCTGTACTCTTAGACGAGATTATTAACAGTGTCTTGCAAAAAAAAGTTTCTTTTTCAGACTAACAAGGGGGAAACGAACTGGCCAGACCAAGGGCTGCTGTGACTGTGAAGTCCGCTGTGTTGCACGAGTTGGCATAGCTAGACGTTAGTAGGGAAGTATGTTCTTGAATATTTGTGCTTAAAAGCTAGGCTTATGGATATAGAATAAGTCTTACTTTTTCAAAAACCCATTTCCTTGAAAGCAAGGTCAGAGAAGCAGAGAGAGATTCTCTACCCACTGGTTCACTCCCCAAATGGCCACACAGGCCAGAGCTGAGCAGAAAGCCATATGCCAGGGAACTGCTCCTGGGTCTCCCACACAGGTAGCTCGGGCCTGGGGTCTATGGCCTATGGAGTCATGCCATCTGCTACTGCCTTCCCAGGTTCATTAACATGGAGCTGGATAAGCACTGGAACTGCTGGGACACAAACCATTGCACATATGTGATGCCACTACAGGCCATGGCTTACCTCATAGTGTTCCAGTGGTGGCCCCTGTTAATTCTTCACCCCACCCCCACCCCCATTTGCTTGAAAAGCAGAGTTGGAGGTCGGGCGAGATCCCTCTTGCATGTGCTGGCTCACCCCTTGGTGGTCTTTGAGTGAGTCAGGCGGAAGGCGGAAATCTCCATCAGGGTCTCCAGGGTGTGGGGAAGGGTCCCAGGGTATGGGCCAGCTGCTGCTGCTTTCCCGGGTGCACTAACAGGAAGCCTGAGCAACAGGGGAGCAGCTGCGACTTACGTGCACGCAGCAGATTAATTCCTTACATCACAGTTATGGCCCTAGTCTGTTCATTTTTAAATCAGTTTGCACTACAGGAATGGCATTGAGGAATAGAATTAAAATTAGTCCGAGGAGCCCACTTGACCACCAACAAGCTGAAGTATTAAAGAATTAAAATGACACTGTGAAATGAGAGGTCATGCAAATGAATGTTGCAAAGCTGTTACATGAAAATAAGAATAGAACTTTTTCTTTTCTTTTAGACAACTATTAGAATTTTGTAATTCTAGGGATTCAAAGCATTTTGGGCCTCTAAAAGTACAGGTGCAATATACTAGCAGCTTACTACTTATACAAAAAATCAAGAAATGTTTGACCTCGATAAAGTGAGTCAGAAAAGAGGAGGTCTTATGAGATATTTTTGAATGTGAGAAATACACTCTGCTGTTGACTCAACTTCGATGTGACTCATGAAAGATGAAATTGGGCCAGAGAGTGGAGGAGGACCAAATCAAGGGAAAAACATGATGTGGTAGCAAGCAGGGGCAGTGAGGGAAACCACGTGTGGAACTGGTTGACAGGTGACTGATGGCCCGGGAAAGAGTGGAGGAGGACGACGACCATTAAATCAGAGTTAGGAGATACTTGCAAGAACACTCAGTTTGAAAATTTAAAAATATGAATTGTTCCCTCGGGAACAAAATGCCGTGGGAACTGTCCTCAGTTTTCCGTCTTGAGAAATGAGCAGAGACATTGTACATTGATGTACATTTGATGGTCTCCTTTGGCAGAATAGATGAGCATTGTAATTGTGGTTCTCTTTATTGGGTTCAGGGGTGACTTGGAATAAATGTTACCCATTTAGGCTTTGGAAAAAAGCCTGCAAATCAAGATGGGAAGTCTAGGGGGTTATTTACAACATTCATGCGGGAGTGGGCTGTTGGCCTGTGTTCTATCACAAGTTCTAAGACCAGGTTCCTGATAATAACAGACCCTAGGAGGCAGTAGGTGGAGGCTTAAGGACTTAGGTACTTGAATACTTAGGGGTACCACCTACCTCTAAGGAATATATGGATTGAGGTCAGAACTTCTGGCTTTAGCTTGGCCCAGCTTCTATATTTAACTCTGGCTAGGACCTGGCATGGTAGCTTAGTGACTAAAGTCCTTGCCTTACATGTACCGGGATCACATATGGGTGCCAGTTTATGTGCTGGCTGCCCTACTCTCCGTCCAGCTCCTTGCTTGTGGGTTGGGAAAGCAGTAGAGTACGGTCAATGCCTTAGGACCCCACACCCACGTGGGAGACCCAGAAGAAGCTCCTGGCTTTGGATTGGCTCCATTCCAGCCATTGTAGCCACCTAGGGAGTGAACCAGTGGTTGAAGACCTTTCTCTCGCTCCCATAAAAAAAAAAAACCTCTTTCCAATAAAAAAAAGAATAAATACTAAACAGAGCAAAAAACAGAACTCTGTCTATATCACAATGTCCATTTTCATCCCAAGTCTTGACTTTGGTGATGATCGTTTTGTAATCCCTGCTGAAACTTCAGACTTTGTAGACCTCTTGCATTTCAGGGACTTTGATCAGCCTCCTAATGCAAGCTGCCACCCACGGCCACAGCAGAGATGCTTGCTAGCCAATTCAGTTCTTTTCCCTAGCCTTGTCTCACTCCCTAGCAATTTGTCTCATTTGTTATACCCTTTCTTGGATTTCTAGCTGTATCCTCTACCAGATCTTTCATTTTAGCATGGTGCTAAGTTTTGCACATTTGTATCTTACAGTCCCCAGCCTTGATCCTGTATGCTTCTTGCTTGAGCTGCTATTCCTGTTTTCTCACTTTCTCTGATAAGCTCCTAGGAAAATTGATTTACTCTCACTGCTTCTGTTCATTTACCTCTTAATTATTCCTCACCCATCTGAGACCTGGCTTTGTTCCTTCTCTCTGATCAAACCGGGAAAAGGTTAGCAGCAACCATCTAATTGCCCAATCGAGTGAGAAACTTCAGCTTTCACCTTTTTAGATTTCCTTGTCAGTTGTCTTTGACTCTGCTGCCTTGCTGCCTTGATTTCTGCTCCCATCTAATTTAAGAGTTTCCTTTATTTTGTTTCATGTGCTGTCTGGTCAATACCAGTCACTGGTCTCATTTACTGCCATTTATTTTAGGAATCTCACAACTTGTTATCTCCAAGAAAAGCAATTTTTTTTTCTTGCTCCTTAGATTAATTACAGGGTTTACATTTCATATTGTGGTTATGAAACTGACTAGAGAATTGTCAAAATACTTAGCTTTTTTTGTATAGATATTTGTAAGTTATGATGCCATAGTTGAATTGAGAGCTGTGGTTCCTTTAGTGCATGTTGGGTAGATTGTAAAATCCCATACATCTGTAGTAAACACTTTGGCATAACAGGTGGAGGAGTGATAATGAAGCTATGTGGAGTATTAATAAACCGTGATTCTAACGGTAAGCCCCTAGCCTCATTGTCTTGCACTCACTCTACTACTTAAAGTTTGATTTATTTCCAAGGCAGAGTGACACAAAGTCAGGGAGGGAGAAGCAGAGAAAGACCTTCTATGTACTATTCTGATCCCCAAATGCCTGCAAAGTCTGGCCTGGCCAAGTCTGTGAGCTAGGAATGGGTCTCCTATGTGGAAGAGTCATCTGCCTGCCAGGTGCATTAGCAGGAGGACTGATTGGAAGCAGAAATGTGATTTTACCTCTAGCAAAGACACGGGATGTGGGCATCCATAACCGTGTGTTAACTGCATGAAAACACCCACCACAATGCTATGTATTTTTTTAACAAGAGAAACACAAGTTAATCACCATGCATATTTCACATACAAAGATACTTTTAAAAATTCATGGAAATTGAATTCGAAGAAGTAGATTTGGGTGTAGAATGCTTCCCATTTCATGCATATGAGGACTCAGGCTTATAGTATCTGCATACTATACTATAGATTATACTATAGATTATAAATAATCTATGCATGGAGTCTGTGAAGTGAAGTGAGCGGTTCTTCTAGAAGGATTTTTGAGTTTCAGCTGGTTAGCATTTTTTACTAACATGAGTGAATTCTTAGAAATGGCAAGAAGCCAGGCAGTGGGTGTTCTGTCACCTGAGAGGTGCTGGGTTGTGCCTGGAGACATTTCTGGTTCTCACTGCGAGCATACCCACCACTGGACTCTAGTGGATGAGGCAAGCATGGGGCTAATTTTCCTATGAAGCACAGAACAGCGCCTCCTGCCCCAATACACACACCCCACAGTTATCTTTTTGAAACACAAATTGGGACATTCTCTTGTTCAAATCCATCCAACAATACTCTGTATTTTTTGGATAATGTATTCAAAAGTCCTTCATAATGCTTAGCACATCCCTTGGCCCTATTACCTGTCCCATCCCAGACATCCAAATATTTCTGTGATTTCTGAAGGTAGAGCAAATGCTTTACTACCTTAAAATTCTCACACTTGCACGTTCACCGTTGACCTAGCTCTGCCTGGATCTGGTTCTCCTGCTCTTGCTCTTCTGATAATCAGCTGGTAGAATATAGCCCTTGTGGTGGAGCAATCCAGTTGGTTTGCCACACTGCTTCTTTCTTCATGTCT